TATATGTAGCTAATATAATCGTTTTTCTCATACAATTATCGATAGGCGGAAGTGAATATCATATTAGTTCCGGATTAAATGTGCTATAAACGAAAATTATCCGAGGCACCAAGCTGCTATAGATAGGACGATTTGATTGCATTACGACAAAATCAATATTCTATTAGCTCGTGTACGCGTCGTGTCGCGTGCGTGGGAAATGAGAATCATTTCGCATTGATGGAACACCAACGAGTGTGTGAGACATGAATGGTACGCATGGACAAATAGCTTGTCAGCTGCGTCATAGTTAAACGTGTAAGTACAGTATACAAGCACTCGTTGATACCCGAAAGCATTGATAAAGAAGCGCTTGACTCGAGGAGACTCGATATCTGTCAATCGTCCGATATTCAAGTCATCTCCAGCGCGCGTGCTGGAGATGTATCCACGCGTTCAAGACGTAAAGTATAATTAATTAAATGTATAATATATAAAAAAAAAACAAAAAAATGTTTTAGTAATATCACGCGTAATTTTCTTTCTGTTTAATGTCATTTTAATAAAATGCATGAGCAGAATTTTACGATCCTATTTTCTAGATTAATTATTCTCAGTCGTAAATATAATTCTCATTATCTCTTTTCATTAGAATAAGTGCAGTGAAACGGAGAAGACAAATTATGGTTTTATGGTATTACATATGGTACTGCGTATTAGCGCAAATTAATCAGTGGTATTAAAGGCCAGGAATGTGAATCAATTTACATCACGCGTATTTAGTAGATAAATGACTTGACTATTCATTTATTATTACATAATATATATAATATATATTCCGTAATATAGACCAATGACAATAGTTGTCACTATTTATCGATATCAAAATAAACTATTCATCTATAGATACAACCGTTATCTGCGTTGATATACTAGCGTTGCAAGATGTTAATGGTAATATTGCCGTTCAATAATTCGCGATAAACGCACGTCGACAAAGAACGACGTTAAGCCAACTGTGATGAATGGGCAACGAATCGAGAATGAATCGATTAACGGTAATAATGAATGGGGGCCGTGCCTCCACCGTCAGATCGGCGGAGATATGGAATCGGCTCGTCGCCATCCGGCTATCCCCTGGGATTTATCCCGGTCATATCCCGTAAAACCCTCCGAACGAAAAGTCGATATAGCAGACAATAGGTCACCCAGGCGTTTCCAAAGTTCTTCATATGATTTTTTTATCCAGAAGAAAGAAGAAAACTTGTCAAAATCGAAGAATTCCACAGAGACAGTTCGCGAAAGTTATTACTGTGTAGCTCGATCGTGATTGTTTTTTGTAACGTCTAAGTTTGCAATATATTAAATTTAGTAATTCCTCTTATATAGTAAGAAATTTCTAGCATCATTGAAAAGAGAATCAAAGTGATATCTATATTTTAATTTTATCTTCTTACAGAATTAATATTTTATCAAACAACTTTTTGAATACACAAAAGATGAAATGAAAAATACAATAGATTTTTCTCGTTTCAATTCCTTAACATTTTGTATCGGTTTCAACAAAGTTTCAAAGATTGCGTAAAGACTTGAACAACATGTCGATGAAATATTAGGTAACAAATATACGAAGAATAGATTGATTTCCGCAAAAGTTTTCTAATGCAAGAAAAGCGTATCATAAAGAAGTCAGCTTTCCAATATTTATTCACGGCCATAAAAATAGGTCGGACGGCTTTAAGATGGAAGAAATTTCGCGACAACCTGTCTCTGTTCACAGAAGATAAAATTTTCTTCTAAATATTAGAATAATGGCTCTCTTACGTAAACTTTGTGTCATGTAAGGAATACACCAGCTGCAAAATAATATGCTGGAGAGTAAACGTAAAACGTTCGTAAACTCTGTTATCTACCACGATGGAAAAAAATATATAAAGCCAAGGCAGTTAATCACTTCTCTCTCTCTCTCTCTCTTTTTCTCTCTGTGTCTTTCTTACTTCTTAACTAGCGCAGCATCTGTCTGAGTGTTCATATATAATAATAATCGTCATTAGTACCTTAAATCATTATTACGTACAATAAAACTGACTATGAAATTCTAAAATTCGTCTAATAATGCAAACCTAGAAAATGTTGCAAAAATTTCCTTTTAACAACTTTATTTTTATTATTAAGTATTTTTAATATTTTGATTTATAAATAAATTTGTTAAAATAAACTATTAAGCTACATGTTCTATTGTTAAATATACCATAGTTGTGTAAATTGAAAATTTTGAATGATCAAGTCATCACGTTCTCGCACGAAACAAATAACCCAATACAATAGCTGATTGTTTCAATATAATTATATTCTAAATCTAGTATAATATATAGAGTAACCTAAAAAGTATGTGAGCACAAGACTCGTATTAAATACGTTCGCGATTAAATGTTAATATAAGATTCTTTCGACTGAAAATCCATTTTTACAATTACCAAGCAAAGACTAAGCAAAGACTTTTATTATCTTCAAAAAATTTAATTCACCAAAATCTTTTAATTTTCAATCATTTCTTCGTAATTCAAGAATTATTTCTTTTTGATATCTCAAGAAATTTATATTGATATCTCAAGAAATTTATATAGATTAAAAGAATGATAATTACTCGGAAATATTTAATAGTTATATATAAGTAAAAATCTCATATTAGATTGATAACTAAAAATATATATAAAAATATCAAAGTTTTCTTCATAAGAAAGATTGAATTTCAAAATTCCTTCGAAAGTAATTCCGAGATTATATAATTTTTTGTGCTACATAGTCAGGACCGATTATTCGGTATACATATTTAATAACGACAAGCTCTCGGATACAATATCACAAAATTTCGTCTTTTTACGGAATGTCTCTTGCTGTGAAACCACGCGCAATAACATTTCCATATTCACGACGTTAGCACTGAAATGCAGTTTTTGGAGAAACGTGAATTTACTTGTAATACATTATTAAAACCGCTAAACTTGTCAAATCCTATGATAAATTTTCACTGTTTAAATATACACAATGACGTTCGCAAGTTCCTGAATATGCCTGATTTGACATAATTGAAATTTTGGAAAGCACTTATTACATTATTATAACATAATATAAAAATAGTGCATTAATTTAATCATCAATATAACATAGTAATAATAAAACATATCTATATAACATAGTAATAATAAAACATATATGATAATACATTATCAAATAATCTTTTTTCGTCCATAAATTTCGTTATTTTTCTGATTTATTAAACCTCCTGACAATTGATGACTCAATCTTGGAATAAGAAATGTCTGTTTTATAATATAATACAAAAACAGCATTCTTAGAATCATACATGCATATCACTATAAGAAATAATTTTTTATTAACCAGGAGATCTTAAAGATGCGCAAAATCAACATTATCCGCAGCTTTATTAGGATTCTTCTCAAAGAAACTCCACGAGCCTGAAGGGATAAACCTTTAAAATATTCCGAACAAGGGATACGTACGTGTTTCGATTTCCAATTCAAATAATTCGCGTCTCCATTCTTCCATGGAAAACAAAAATAATTAAGAGCATTTGATCTTCAATTATTCGTTAATTAAATCTTCAGTTTCCCGCGAGCGATTACTGCAATCAAATGTTCGCGTTTTAAAATTAAATATATTTGATCGTAGTCGCTGTATATTTAACATTTTGCGGTAATAAAAATTACGCAACGATTTTGTCGTCGCAAATATTATTATATTTATTTGCGTTATTTTGTGTGTCATTTTCAGACAATTTTATGCCATCATAAAATAAATTTATTATCTTCTATGTTAGCATCATGTTAACATATTCAATTAATAAAAATTAAAGTTTTACTGCTGAAATAAGAATATTTGATGTCCTTCGTACATGTTTGTCATACATGTTAAATATATGTATTATCTTACGATTAATCATAAGAGATTACGTATACATAGTGTTTGTTAAATAACATCTCCTTTATAATTGTATCAACAATTGTCTCGCGGACATCCAACCAAATAAACTTTTTGATTTACATTCACCAAGATTAATTACATGCAAGAAATTGGAGTAAACACCATAAATATAATATGAGTAAATTCAAACAATAAATCACTCTACTATCAGCAATCTCGTAAAACGAGTAATCCGACGTCCCATCCATTATTTTACCTCGTAAAAGTTTCTCGCTGCAGGAATCATTAAGCATATTATTACAACAAATATCACATCAACTTCAATTCTTTCGTAATATTATATTATCTTTGAAGTGTGAATATTTTTGACTAACATAATATTTTACGGATTAATTAAGTTATATGAACGCGTAATATAGACTATGTGATTATTATTAATTTATATGAATAAAAAAAAATTTACTGCTTTAGAATGACGTTTGATTAAGAGAACAAAAAATTTCGCAAGTATTTCGAAATAATCTCATATGATCCATCGTTCAAAATTCTCTCTAGTTTGTAAGAGCTAATCTCGAAATGGAAAAACGCCCGCGGTTTCGTGTCGACGGTTTGATTCGATTAACAACTCGCACAGAAATAATTTCATGCTGCGTTACACACCTTCATTAACCCGGAATCTCGCCCCAGAATTTCACGAGATTTCACACTGCCGGATGCGCTTGTTGTGACGATATTTCTGACACGCCAGCTAGTGGACTCTCCTTTCCCGTGACATGTCGAATTCCGCAGCGCAATCCTCTCTCGAATCGTTTTCCAGAATATTTTTATTCCTTTTCGTTATAAATTTGTGCAAAAGTGCGCATAAATATAAACGAGATCATTTGTTACTTACAAGCTTCGATATTTACAAACCATAACAAAAGTCTTTTCCATTATATTAAGTCAAATAGATTGTGCAGTCATATATTTTTTTTTTAATCAAATTTATATTTATACATGACGGAGGAGATTAAGAATGTTAAACGTGCATCGATTGTCCAACAAAGTATCATTTGTTATGGATTTTTTATCTGCAGATTGCATTTTCTACTGGTACATTTAGACGATTCGTCACGTCTTCCTGAAAGAAGCGACGCGCACGGCAAGCAAAAATCGCCATCGTAGTTTAACAAGACATCAATGATTAACGAGACGATATCGATGACCGGAAAACGTGATATCCGACACAGAGACGCGTCCTTAACAGCGACAGCGGGTGGAAAGGATGATGCATCTCTCGCGCGAAAGAACGACGGATCAAGAAAGAGCATTTTGTGCGTCATCGAGTGCCGCCTGGGGTCATCATCGGCGGGCCAATTAGACATAAAAGTGTTCGGTGAAGAGTAAGAACGAGCCGAAAAGGGAGAAAGAGGAAGCTGCTGTAAGGGAGGCGAAGAAAATCGACGGGCAAGAAGAAAGCAGAAGAGACGAGAGAAATGGCCGCCGGTAAGTGGAAGTGGAATGTGAGCGAATTAAGCACTCACAGCAATGCACAATGCACGATTATTGAGGGCAAAAGGAGGGAGGGGGAGAGCGAAACGGTAACATGCCTTCACGTATTAATAACAGCGGGAACTCGCGTCTAGAAATTAAACTTCTCTTTCGCTTCTCGCGTCAAAGAGCATTCGCGCTTTGTAGTCGCGCGCGATCGATATTCGTAATCCAGTACACGCTCAGCTGTTCCGTTGGCTCTCACACCGCGTGGTTAAACGCCACTCTGCTCGACTCTCCTTAGACCCATATATAGATCCAGTTAGTCAACGCACCGTAGTGCGCAAATTTTTAATTGCCCCGCCGGCATCGAGTAGCATCAATTCCCGCACGGTCTGACTTGACCCATCTGTTTCCACTGGAACGTACTCGCACTCCTCGTAGATCGCGATGCCGTAGTCAGTATGCGCTTGCACTTTTTTTCTATGAAATGACGATACTATACTTGTTTAATATTATTATCAAGAAAATATTATTGCACAATTTTCGCAGTATTTCAGAATAAAGAATGCGATGACAATGGTAATTAAACTTGTTATACCGTAATTCGTTTATTGAAGCATTAATTCTCTTCTCCAATCATATTACAATCTAACTAATTTTTTTTTTTTTATTGTTTCTGTAAACTATAGTAACGCAACAAGCCCTGATTATTTTCGAGAGAAAGTCTAAGGATCTCATCCCCCATCTCAAATCTTTTTTTTTTATATTATTCATTAAAATGTCGGGGAAGCTTTCACAAGGGTCAATGTTATTACATATATGCACATATAATATGTCTTATGCAAAATTTGCAACCCCCTGACGGCGCATAATTCATTATCATATGGTTTTCCTCTTGACAGTTATCGGTATAATTGCCGGCGAACGTTCGCATCCATCAGACACACATCATGCACGGCAGGATGTAGCATAGGAGATATGTAATATGTCAACGATATCGCGATAAAGCGAAAACTAATAGCTAATTCGGCACCTAAACGATTTCACGCATCAAAGAATTAAAAAATCTCTAGATCAATCAATTATTCTTATTGTTAAAATATTGTTTAAAAATGTATTTTTCACAAATTTTGAAGGAAAAAAGCATATAATAAAAATATTCCTCAAAATTTATTAAAACAAAATTTCTCTTGTAGAATTAAAATTTCTCTCTTGCGAAAAAATTAAACTTTTTATCACGATTCTCTCAATATTATGCCTTTTGCATTTCAATTCTTTTAAAGAGCTCTTAAACATTCAATGCATTCATAAAAATGCAATAAGCTTATTCGGTTACGCGACCCCGTACCAATCCGCCTGCATCATCGAATCGCTACAGATGCAGTCGTCTTTTGCAGGAAGCATAGCATAAAAATGGAAGGAAAAAGTCGATCTGCCAATTTCGGAACATCCTTCGATTTCGATTTTCGCCGGGAATAGCTTGTGCCATTTTTTCTTTTTGGTGGACATGTATTTTTCTCGACGTAAGCAATATTGCATTATTATCGTAAGCGGTGTATATGTTTCGTACAGATATGGATTATTAGATCTGCGTATTAGTTTTCGTTTAATTTTTATCTGAATAATTTCCAATACAAAATTTGTTACCGTATTTTCTTTGTTCACATGCATTATATGAAGTATCTAAAAATTATTAGTATTTTTTTATTCCTCTTTAATCATCTGTTCTAGACGCAATTACTTGATTGAAGTTTCTATAGCTCATTTATACGTCAAAAGATTGATTACAATGTCAACAATGTGCATGCATATTGACTTAACGAACACGCCTTGCTATACTTTGGCATTAAATAGCGTAATAAATTGAAAGCAAAATTCAAATTTAATTTATGTTGAAATTATTATCCAATCAAGTTAAAATAACTGATGTATTTATAATCATTTATTTCTTCATCATTCATTTCGACATCCTTTGTTTCATAAATTTTCTTTTGTCATAGTCGTAAAAATTAAATAATGCATTATAATAGAAGTTAAATCTAATTCCAATTTTCATTATAATTAAAATCTGATGAAGTAAAAATAAAGGATATATTTATGATTTCCTTCTATGAGATAGACGAAATTGATTAAAGGATGGAACTTGAATTAAAGCTTAAACATTTGCCAGTGCAATAGAGAAGTTTTCAGAAGAACGCAGCAGAATTAATTACAAGATATTGTTTCAAGTTAAAAAGTTGTCAGGACGTTTGAGCTTTCTTAACACAGTAATAGCACTTAAGGAGTAAAAAAGGATAAATTTGTAATCAAATGCTATTTCTATTGTAGATCATTATAGAAAAATTATCATGTGGGGAGATGGAGGGGCAAAGAGGAGTTATAACTTGTTTCTCGTTTCATGATATTTACCATAAGCATGCAGTAAGCGAAATTATATGTCACATCTCTATAGAGCAGCTTAAACACGTACTATTATGGGAATACATACCAAATACGTAATATGCACGATACGCGTCCATGAACATGAGCAATCAACAAAATGGACCATTTGCAGTAAGTGATTAATGGCGATAAGTGATAAGAACATAATATTTTTATTCTCTCGCCCATTGTATCTGCATTGTGTTCGAAATAAGATAGCATTAACGGCGAAAATAGTGCAATTAAAGATTTTTAGAAATACAAAAAAAAAATATATCTTAACATTTTTATATCATTCACTCTCGAAAATGGCGAAGGAGACTCGCGACAGACTCATGAAATTGAAGAAATATTTGAGCGTGTAAAAATCCAATGCATGGAAAATGAAAATCCCGTATGCTTGTTCATTTTATCATAGCAAGCATCCGCGAAAATTGTATCTTCTATACCGTCAGTAAAAGCTCGAGAGTATCATATAGGATATGGACCACTCCTCTGTCGCGATATATTTCGTTCCTCTCCGGGAATATATAATTTCGCTTCGATATACACAGCGTGTGCGTCGAGAAAGCAAAAGACAATTTCACAAATGGATCTATTTTTATCCGAAGGCTTGAGTGATGGTGTCTCTGTAACTGGAAATTCGCCACATCTCCCAAAGATCTGCGAAAGCACGAAAGCACTTATTGAGCGAAATCGTCGGTTATTGCTCGAGGATTTTAGTTCCTCGTCCGTAAGGGAGTTGCAAACTATATATAACACACTATAAATTGAAATCTGTTTTTCACAAAATAATTTTATATTACAATGCTTTATTAGGGTTTTTATAAAAACTTTAACTTGCAATATTAGCAAATATTCTAATAAATCGTTACTCTTTAAAAACATATTTTCTGAAACGTTTAGCTCAAAGAAATGAATTGTGCTTTGGTCGATCTATTTTATTCCTTACAATTATTTTCTAAATCTGACATGATATATATAAATGCATCACATAATCATAATCTTAAAAATTTTTAATAATATTTCTAGCAAGATAATTCGCGCTTAATGTGCAAGTAGTCGAAAAAATTTTCAGCCGGCGCAATTAAAACTAAAAGAGAGGAGGAAAAGTTTTATAGTGCAACCGTGCGTAACTACACGTGACGTTTATTCGGAATTGCCCGTGAAGTTATATAAAAGGAATAAAAACGGCATTTAAACTTCATGACAAAATTTGTAAATTAATCAAATGTAACGCGACACGTTCCTAGAAAACCGCGGTTGACCCCGTCGTTTTTCACATCTTCTATTTTCTGTCGCTCATGGCGAAGTAGCGTAGCTTTTGATCTTGAAATTGCTTTGCAGAAACGTAATTCGATTTTAGAATATGAAGGAAAAGCCGCGTGTAGAAAATTAGTATTCCCAATTACTTAGTTTTCCATTAACATCGGAGCTTTTTAAAACGCCTCTAAGATTTTAATACTTAATTAAGACACCAAAAACTCTTTAATAACACGAAACCCACAGACTTTATTTCGTTAAACACCAATATATATTTCATTGTTTGAATCGAGACAGTATTAACAGGAAAAAGAATAGAAATAATTTTATAAAAATCTATTTAATGTATGCAAGGGTTGAAGAGAGCAAAAATAAGTTCAATATTATAAAACAGAGTTTAATTTGGATCTAATATGTGTACTAGTGTTTAATTTATTGTCAAACTTTTATCGACTGTTTCGATGTTTTCGCACATTTGCAAATTGGGTTATACTGGTCACGTCGTTAGTATCACGTTGAAGCACTCATGCTAATGAAGCTATCATTCCGTTTTTCTATGTAGAGATGTATTTTATCATTAGACGTATTTTAACGAGTTACATGAATGGTCCGTACTATAACGGTTAGTGAAAATTTATTATATCGCGACATCTCGTATCGGCAATTCGATACATAGTAATTATCGTCATTGGCATTCTGTTCTTGTTTACTAATGAAGCTATCATTCCGTTTTTCTATGTAGAGATGTATTTTAACGAGTTACATGAATGGTCCGTACTATAACGGGTAGTGAAAATTTATTATATCGCGATATCTCGTATCGGCAATTCGATACATAGTAATTATCGTCATTGGCATTCTGTTCTTGTTTTTTTTTTCTTTAGTCAATACATGCTGTGGTAATCGTCGGGAATTTAAAAAAACTCCATGAAATCTCCGACTTGAAGAAAAATAGCTTGTTTATACTTTGTAGGTTCAATAAATCGCGCAATCTATGACTCGAGGAAATTCCATTTGAAAAAATGGCCATTTGGGTAACCCAATTTTGGGGGTCTTAGATAAGAGTATAATCTTAATGTTCCAGTTATATTGCTAAGTCGTAAAAGTTTTCCGAATGGTTAAGAATAAAATCTTTTTAGGTTTCGTATAGCATGCGATTATCCGATTCAATGATATCTAAATGATGATATTACATACGTAACGCGTTTACTAGTAACATCGAATATACATTTCCAAATAAAACGCCATATATTTTGATTTATGAGTTATGTAATAGTTTTTGACAGAAGTTAACCATAAATATGTCATTTATTATATATATATCCACC